CCCCAGGATCATACTTTGAGTATAATTCCATCCATCAAATTCCAAGTGAACAAAGTCCAATAGAAGGTCCTGTTATACAGTAAAGCAAGAAACTCTGTGGAATTAGGAAAGTACTGGTTTGACTGGCAGTTCCAACAATTTTTACTTTGTGATCCTGGATCCTTTGCTCCCCCTATTTGGAACTCATTTTAAAAATACAGATCATCCGCCGGGTGTGGTGGTGCACGCCTTTAATCCCAGCACTTGGGAGGCAGAGGCAGGTGGATCTTTGTGAGTTTGAGGCCAGCCTGGTCTACATAGCAAGTTCCAGGATAGCTGGGGCTACAGGGAGACCCTGTCTCAAGGCAAAAAAAAAAAAAAAAAAAAAAAAAAAAAAAAATACAGATCATGTAGTTTTCATGAGAAAAAATATGCTACTAGGTGATTTTGCTATGTGAACAATGTAGAGTACTTAGGCACACTGCAATGGCCATGATATTACTGAAAAATAATATTTATTTTTAGATAATATGGGACCTCTGTCAAATATAGGGTGTATTGCTAACTGAAACACCATTATGTAGTAAATGACTTTAACATATTAACTTGTGCTGGTACAACTTTTCTCAGCCCCAAATAAAATTGAAGCACACTAAATTTTTCATAAATTTGTACTGAATAATATTTAATTCACTTCAGAAGTCAGTTAGAAATAACTCTTTAATTCCAACTTTTATTAAGATGCAGCTGAGTTATCCTTCGGGTATATAAATAGTTAATAAGCTAATTGGTACTTTGCTTGAAGATCGCCTAGCTTCTTTGGCCTCATGCCTGTGGCACTTCTGCTAAAGCGAAACTAAACTTATACAGCAAAATTAAAAAGTTGCATGGCGCATTGAAAGAAAAATTGATATGAATTTGAAAATTATTCCCTCTATAGCACTGGAAGAGGTTACACAGGAATATTTTTGCCCATTTTATTCATGTCTAAATATATATGAATCATGTGGATTTATACCTATTTCATTGTATAAAAGATCAATGCTTGAGGTAATGTTGATGTGATAAAATAAATAACAAATATTAAAAAGCCTTGGCAAAATGTAAATTTTAAATCATTTTATGAGACCACTGTCATATATCTGGCCTGTTGTTGACCAAACCATTGTTATTCAGTGAATGACTTTGACATATTTGCCTGTGCTGATCTCCCTTCACTTAGCTCCAGGCAGATTGTAGTATATAAATAAATTTACTAGCTGAGGTTAAATTTCTATAGGGTAAGAGGAAGAACAGTTTAATAATACTAACAATAACTTTTAACAATAGTAGTTACATGGACATTTAATATTTGAACATTATTAGAGTTTTGGAAAATGAAGTTTTGAGCATAAAGTTGATTAAATGAATAATTCTGTCCATTAGCTTTAAAATGTTTTTGAATGAAATTATCTTTGATCATGTTTCAGGTGCCAGTATATAATTAATTCTACCATAACTGCTTACTTCCTTATTTGATTAATAGTTTTTATCTTGTAAATAAACATGAGTTCTATGTTTTCTAGTTCTATGCCATTATGACCTTTATGATTTGTGAATATTCGTCTTACAACTGACTGCTGTCTATTTTCACAATTGTTTCTGTGATCTTGATAGGTCAGAGAGGCTGCACAGGCCCTGCTTCTAGCAGAGCTGAGAAGAATTGAGCAGGCAGGACGAAAAGAAGCCATTGATGCTTGGGCTCCTTACTTACCTCAGTATATGGACCACGTCATATCACGTAAGAGCTCTCATGCTTTTCCAAACATTTTGCAGGACTGTGTAAATGAGTACCAAACTGTCACATATTCATGCTCCTAGAGGTCAACAAAAGTGAGCCCTTTTCCTTAAACTGAGAAGAAGGGATCCTTAATTTGTCTCTTTTATTTGACTCTCTGTGGTTTATAGTTTAGTAATGAAAAAGAGCAAAAGATAACAAATATCAAAATATTCACTTATGATTTGACTTCTTATAAAATTAATTCCCAATTAAAAATCTACCCCCACCCTATTCCACACTGGCTTTTCTTCTGCTCATTGTTTTGTTGTGCCAGGTTAGCCCATATTGATCTTATGATATGAAATGCAAGTACAGGGTGAGATCCCTCAGCAGGTGACGTTGCAATGATGAGTCCATGAAAAGCAGAGATCTAGTAGAGTTCTACCAGTGTACTATGGGAAAATAGAAAATTGGCAAGGATTTGGACTGATGAGTCTTTCAAATTAGTATGATTTGAACAGATTGGGAAAATTGTTGAATTTTTTGGGATACTTTGTGCAGAATATAACTTTTATACTTCTGTTGTTGGGTTAAGTATCCATTGGAGAAAGTTACATTTGTTAGCACAATTTTTTTTCTTCTATGATAAAAAGTTTGTCCTCAGTGCATCACTTATTTGTTCTTCTAAAATATTAAAATTTTATTCTGATTTATTAATTATAAGATAGGTTCACTTTTTGACGTGAAGTCTTAATGAAACGTAAAAAAAATATTTTATTGTGAATTTGGCTTGGATTTTAGGTGAAGTTGTTTGAACAGACTTTAACCAATGTTGGTTGTCCATAGCAGTAAAAAGCTCATCTATACATTATACCAACATTACATGTGCATGGTAGACAGTGCATGCTGAGTTCAAGATGCAAAATGAAAATAGAGTTCAGAGCAGCAGATGACTGTTGGAGCTGGTCTGCCTTCAGCAGCTGTTTGCCAGTGCTGTCTCTGTGCTTAATTAGTCATGTATCATTGGGTACTTCACTTAAGTTTTATCAGCCTTTTCAGATAAAAATCAAGATACCAGGAAGACTTTATAGGATTATAGTGAGTATGCAATGAGTTAATCTTTGTTAAGTCCACAGATCAGTACCTACCCACTGTAAGCACTATCTATTTGTTAAGTAATTATTTTATATATGTATGATCATATATTGCACATATAACCAAAGTGTCAGGCAATAACAACTTTAGTTAAAATTTTTGTTTAAATACCTGGATAGTTACTGAGTTTTTTTTTTTTTTTAACCTTTTTAATCAAAAGAAATTCAGTTTAACAAAAATCCAACACAAAAACCCTAGGGACTCATCATATGCCAGAATTCCCCTCTATGTCCTGTCTACCATGATGTGAGCTGCTCTGTTCTCCCATGGCTGATTTGCCTCCCTGAAGCCAGGAGCTAAAATAAATCCACCACCCCCCTCCCCAAAGAAAAACAACCTTGGGCCTCTCGATATATACGCTCATTTTAAGATAGTGGGCTTAAATTTTTTTTTTTTGATTTAAAATAAAAATTTTAGGATTGAGGCTATAACTTACTGGTAGAGTGCTTGCCCACTTTGATCCCTAGCACTGTGAAACAA